TTCTTGCGTAAGAGGGCGTCGAGGATTACAAGAACCCTATAACCAAAAGGCGCACTTCATGAACCGTTCGTACCCCGAATAACGTGTCTTTAGTCAAACCAACGTGGTGGACAAAGGGGCTCGTGTTCGTATTGCCGCAAAATTCCTTCGAAGTTACGAACCGCCTGCTCAGTAGCACCAATTGCTTGTTCACTCTGAATCCCACCGTCTCTTCTCTTTGTGAACGTTCTCAGGGACATTTTTGCGATTCAATTCTTCATCATCTAACTCTTTTCACTTTTTGAGAAATCCTTAATAAAAGATGATCTGTGCCGCCCCGCGATGGTTGTATAGGGTGGTTCAGTACAAAATGTACCAAGAATCAAAATGTTTATGAAGCGATAACCATGCAATCCTACAAGCTGCACGCGAAAAGAAAGAGGGTCGGGCGGGCGGTGCTTGAGGGTCGCGTCATCGCACAGACGACTTGTAATCGCATGAACGAGGACGCGACATTGCGCGGGCGCCCGGCGCGGCCCATTTCTGATAAACAACAATTACAAGCATATGCAACTAAAAAATAGTAACACTTGCTCAACGATTGATGTTGTTGGTCCAATGAACGCGTCGTTGAGCCATAACCGATCATAGAGAAGACCACGCGATGTCGTGACGTGACCAGCACTTGATGGCATGAATACAGTAGAAGGAATAAGGGTTCGATGACTCAGCAGGAGGCAGAAAAAACGAGATCCATCAGTAGACGGCTCGAGAGCAGAGTCATACCATGACGTAGACGGAGACGACTGCGGTACGAATACTAGAAGCGGGATACAGATGAAGACGGACGAGGTGGGGGTAACGGCGGAAGTCAACGTGGCGGTGTAATAAGTAGGTGATATGACGAGTAGCAGAATAGGGGCCGTGATGTCAGTTCTTGCGCTTCTTTAGTAGGGGGCCAGAACAAAGAACAGTGTTGTGGCTTCCACGGCAGAAGCTGCAAGAAACAGTGCATAGTGCAGCACAGTGGTCGGCAAGTAGGCACCGACTGCAGAGTCGCAGCTCTGCCACTCGCATTGCACGACTTACTGGGTCGGAATACCGATGACATCTACCAGTGTAATGCCCGTCAACGTTTTCGGCTACGTTGCAGAAAATACAGGTGGATTTGGGAGCGGTACGCTCCAGCAAATGGTAATTTCAGCTCACATTTCAGCGGTCAGCGAATACAGTGATTCAAGCAAATTAGTAAGGGTTTGAAGAGTGTTACCAATAACTTCTAATGTAGCAGTTGCGTGAATTCCATGAGACGTATCTCCTCGTCGAGGTCGTCGGCCATGTATGCTGATTGAATGACTCTAGATTTCGTAGACACGATTGGAACAGAAAAAAGTGTGGGAACCGCAGCTGCGGCTTCATGTTTTGTCAGGTGGCACCCTTTTTTATTGCTGCCGCTTTCGCTAGTCAGCGTACGGTACTCACGAGCAATGATACAATCAGTTTTGTGATGAACGCCATGAATTCCACCAAATGAGGCACGGTCTCTGCTATTAGCTTCAATAAAGCTAAAATTATGGCTGGTCTGAAGAGATAGGTAAGCAATATCATCAAGGCCAAAGCAACTGCAGCTGCAAGTGTTACTTTCCAGTGCCTGAAAAAACCATCCACGTAGGATACAGGTCCGATGACTTGGCTTCACTTAACCAGTCGAGTTGGGGGATGTGTTGTTGCATGTTTGAGAGGAATACGTCACTTTCTTCCGTATGTGTGACGTAGTGGAGGATACCACTCACTTTCGCCGAAACGTTGTTGCCACCGCAAACGGTGTAGCCATAGGTGTTTATTACGGCGTTTTCAATGACTGATTTCACCTTTGTCGTCGTATTATCTGGGCTACATTCTATGGAGAAAACGTTATGTGCGCAAGAGATAGTCGCCCATGATCTCGTCTTTGCTAGTCACTAAATTTCGACTGAGCTCCCATGCTTACAACTGTAGCACCCCGACAGATTTTTCGCGTTTATCGCACAATTTGAGTTGACGTTCAGGTGCGCAGTTTCTATTTTCCTGTTCGAAACAATTGCTACTGTTGTCTCGCCTTTGTTGTATTCTGCGAATAGGCTGCCAGATGCACTTGATATTGTGGTGTGTGGTGTCATCAGCGGCAAGACATATTCGCTGTTGCGTCTAATTTGTTCAAAAGTATTATACGGGCACCGACAGCTGGATGTAACACCTGTGGCGTCACAATCACAGTAGCGCGCATTGGTGCACAAGGAAAAATTGGAGATTGATATGTGGCATGTCACGGCAAAGATGTGATCTATCGGGACAATGAGTTTTCGTTGTCTATTTGCGCACACTTTTCATGGAGCCCGAGATCAGGTGTGTGTGTGTCGACATAACCGTAAAATTGAAATGCGCGAATTCCTTCGTTTGGTATGGTATAAGAGAATTTGTTCCATTCTCTTTTGCGTTGTACATTTCTACGCTGATTTTCAGGGTGATTTTTGGTGTCCATGCAGCACATCGGAAGATTTCGTATACCCGTTGTGATGTTGGAATATGGGATACGCGGAAGAATGTGCATACTCTAAAAGAATGTACCACGGAATCAAACATATGCACTCAACCCCACTGCACTGTGCGGGAGCAGTATGCGTAACCTGGGTATTGCGAAGTAGCCTCAAACTCGGGAATACTGCCGAGGGATGTAAAGATTCACACGTATCATGGCTGCATGCAGGGTCAACCCTGCGCTGCGCAAATTTCAGAATTTTTACGACCCCCTCCCTTTCAAGGGGTGTCAGTACGACCCCCCCCCTCTAGGGTTGGTTTGGGGTGAGGGCAGTCACTAGACATGCATGAGAAGCTGGAATATTCGAGTTTACAGGACTTCGCGACGCGGCATCTGCGACTGCCCTCTCCCCCCCCCCTTCCCGCGCCACACTGCCCCAGGAAATCTTTCTGTGATGCTTTAGAGGCCTTTAGCGCTGCCTCTAAAGCACTACGGAAGGATTACCTAACAAAAAATATGAAACATTTCGTCAACAAAAAGAAAGAAGGCAAGAAACCGCGTAATGAAATTCGAATTCAGAAACTCGCGCCCTTAGCGCGGCGCGAGGTGGCGTGGAGCGCGTTTTCTATTCGCTTGGGACGCGAAATCGAAGAAAAATGAAATATTAAAAGTTTTATTCGGGGAACTCAGAAAATTTTTTGTAAACTCAGGTTTCTTTCCTTTTTTTCCTTTTTTCTAGAGCTTCCTAATTTCAGGTACCTGCCAAGATTTCCGCGAACGTCCAACTCTTCTTTTTGTATCATCTGTATCACCTGTCGTCCCCTTAATCGCCGATTTGCTTGATCGGGCGCCAGCAACATCTCCATTCGTCCCTGTCGCGTGCTAGAGTGGTCCAGTGGATCCTTCTTGCTCGAAGGACACGAAGTCCATCATTTCTTTCGTTCGGAGATTTCGTGAAGAAGTCTGGCCATCGGGCCGGCGGTCGTCCAGGTGTTTGTTTGACGTCCCGAGGGATCCAGTCGGTAACCGCTCTGGTCCAACAGTCATCGCAAAATCGCATGACGTGTCCGGCCCACCTTATCTTCGATTCCTTGGCGAAAACGGCAGCGTCCCTGATCTTCGAACGTGGCGTAGTTTGGCACTCCGGATTCTCCTCTGCACTTGCGTGTGTAGGGTTACTACTAGCATTGTCCTCTCGACAGCGCGTTGGATAACGCTGACCCCATGCTCGTCCTGCATGCTTACGTAGCTTTTCAGAATACTTCGCTCAGATCTGGATGGTTCAGACATCCAGAATCGTTGCCGCGCTAGTATAAGCAAATGGTTTTTTCCGCAGTGCGCGTCACTCGTGTGCAAATCTAGCAAAATGAGACGCATGATGGCAGTATGCGAATCAATATAGATCGGATTTCGAGTGTCAGATGGCAGATTTGCGTTCTGCAAGCGCGACTTGCACCGTATGATACCGTTTTCTTCGCGAAAAATTTGCTTATCGTGGTGCCGATTTTTGAGCTTTCCCACGTTGATGTTTTTGTGCTCATGCTGTAGCAAAAATGTTTCTGCTGCGGCTAAATCAGATGCTGTGATCATTAGCTCTAGAGAGAGTTTCGAGATGTATCCTTTCGAGGGTTACATTCTCTTGGTATCAACGAAGGTTCTCTCAGCTTAGCTATGAACTTGCCGACATACCTTAGTGTCCGTAGCGCTTTGTTGAAACTGTTAAAACAGCTAAGGTCAAGTAGTTGATCTGGTGGTGTATTATTGCCGCTGGGAACCATCTCGGTGAACACGACATTTTCTTTTCCTTCAATTTCATCGAAGTTCTGTGGCTCGATAGACGATGTTAGTTAGTAGGGATCGCTCATTTTGACAAGCCATTGGGGTCCCTTGATCCAGTCAAATTTTCCCAGCTGCGCGCTTGTCACTGTACGCGCTCCGGAACCAGCTGGATTCTTCTCGCCTGGAACGTGAAAATTTGGCAGTGATGTACTAGAGCAGTCAACTTACATATGTGCGTTTTGATTTTGTTCCTTTGGTTTGCCACAAAGAGCGGGACTTTTCGAATGGTGCGAATTCAACTCAATGCTTGAGCTGTCACTCGCTATGTTTATTGCAGAAATTTCGTCGCCAATGGCCGACGCTATCGATTCCGCAAGCCGAAACGCAAGCGAAGTTGTGAAGTTCTAGCTTAGGTGTGGACATGGCTCACTTCTGCGGCGCGTTTGGTTTTTCTGCTGTTTACTGCTTGCATCCGCGAAAACCCACAAATAAGGTTTAGATTGCGTTGCGCTGGCAGCGAAGAACTGTCGTGGGACTTGTACGTGAAAGTTTGCATTGCGTTGCTTAATGCCACTCAGCTGACTCAGGACCTGCTCTAGAGTCCCATTCCAAATTTTTTTGGAACATGCTCCTAAGCACATGTTTTTGGCATATCATGAGTGTCGCGCCAAGACCGATGGGATCATAAATAAAATGATGCTGTCTTACATAATCTCTTTTCAGCTTAGGCTGGGTATGTGGAATATGTGTCCGTTATGGGGTCATAGTCCACTCTGAGGAGCTTCATCTGCTCATATGGTGCTCTGTCTTCCTTTTTCACCTGATCATTGACCTCTGGACAGTTGCTTACGAATGCTCGCAAGTTCATGCCTATTGCAGAAAACAATGCCTTAGATTTTTGTATTTTTCTACCGCTTCCTCATTGGAATAAGCACCTCGTAGAACATTGTCCCCGTAAAGTAGCGATAGGATTTCGTTTGCGAGTGGTGTGTCACATTTCTGCAGGTAGGCTGAAAGAACTATGTTAAGTATGCTAGGTGACGACGTTATCCCAGAGTGCAATCTTTTCCATCTGTACCCAACTATATTACCTCGTTCGGGTGGTTTTTCAGTATCTTGTACCCAAAGAAACCTGCACAAGTCGCGATGGGACTCGAGAGTTCGGATTTGCGTGAAGGCCCATTGTATGTCCGCAACAAGAACGCTGGGCTTTGTCGGGCTTGCGATCAGTATGTCGTGGATCTTATTCACGAATGATGCCCCGGTGTGTATGAAGTCGTTCAATGATAACTGGCCCTTCTTAGAAGACGCGTCGAACACAATCCTAAGTGGATTAGGTTTGTGTTCCGTCCACACGCCGGAGTGCGGCATATAGTAGGTTCCTGCGGATTCGGGTACAGGTCAGGGTCAACCGTCACGTTGGACCGATATTGGAGCGACGTTGGACCGATGCTCACCGCTATCCGCGCCGGCATTCACTCTCGCCACCCGCGAGCCGTCTGTGTTTCCGTGCGTACGTTCACTCTCGGCATTACTCTCGTCGTCGCGTTGGACTTTGTCCAACGGACGGTTGACCCAGGCACAGGTTCGGTTACTTTCTCGATTACGTTGTCCGCGAGATACTGTTCAATTGTTTGCACGTACCACGCTCTCTTTTCGAGAAACTGTGCCAGATGTTTCGCCTGAGCGACTAAGCGACGAAAGGCCATATTGTAATTGTTCGCTAAATCTATCACGTTTGCTTCCAGAGGGAATGGTGCACTAACGGTTTTGCCGTTATATCGAAGTAGTTGATAAGAATGTATATTTTCGTCATCAACTTCTTCCTTTCTTGAAATACCTAAACCTTCCATCTCAAACATACTATTGAGCATTTCGGAGTCTGAAATTGCCGTGTTGCAGGCCATTGGATGGTTTGGGGTGTACGGTGTGTGCTTTCTTTTGACCACGGCCGTAAGCGGCGAATCCGAATACCGTTTGCGCTTGCCGGAGACCAGTGGTTAACTGGAAAGGGGCGGTATTTTCATCGACGAAAGAGCAGTAAAGGTAAGTCAGTAAATCCAATAAATGTGTGAGGCAATTGATATTCCCCATGCATCCGCGTGTTCGTGTGGAATAGGTTGTGATTTTCCATGAATTGTATGTCACGTTCGGCGAGGCACACTGCAGAAAAGCCTTTTGTTATTGTTTGGTTTTCATCGAAAATTCAAGTTCCCGCCCTTGTGCAGATTGCACGCGTAACACAATATGATGGGTCAGGAAGGTTTCTGGTAGCCCACTTATTCCTGATGACGAACATTGCTCCGTTTTCAGCACGGGTAGACCCAGATGTTGGGCGCAGTTCTCTAAAATCAGACTCAGTTGTGCACCTGTGTCAAAAAGAAAGGGCGCCCTATGGTACTGTTTGGAAGAATAGTTCCATACCAATCCTTCTACCGTCATGAGCACAACTTGTTCTCCTGCGGAGTTAGTGCAATATTGCGCTGGAATGTGTTGCTTACGGAAAGCTGCAGACGACACATTTGGATGTGCTAGGGAAGTGTGATTGGTAGGTTCGCTGATATTTTTCTTGAATTGTCGCTTCTGAGGGTTCTCAATAGGCGTGCAAAGAGTTTTGCGCAAACTATCTTTTATTTCCTTGACTTTTGTCTGTGCAGTTCTCACTTTGCTTCTGTATGCAAAGCGTTTTGTCGTGCAATTTACCACAGCGCTTGCAATTGGGACGCATCTGCAGTCGTTGCTTTTGTGTTCCCCAGAAAAACATTTCCAGCAAAGATTCTTTGCTATGGCAACTTTCTGTGCGTTCGCGTGCTTCTTTGACAGTGCGGCATTCATGAGATCTGTGGTCAATTCTTTCACAGAAGTTGCAGACAGTTCTGAGAATCGCTTTCTGTGTCTGCAGGTTCTCGTCTTTGCGCTCTAGTTCGTTAGGCGCTCATTAATGTACGCCTACCTCATAATGACCATTCGAGTTGATCCAATGTTTCGCCAACCGTATAAGTTTCACGGGCCTAATTTTCACGTAAGAATCCCTCTGCGATTTGACACAGAAGCTTTTTGAGTATTGTCTCAATCCACATGGGGTCACAAATGTTCACTACCGTAAAACCTGAAGACGTCATTTCATTAACGAGGGCTCTTATGTTATCAAATACCGCGTCACACGATTTGGCGTTGTTCTTTGCCGCGGGTAAGGAGGAAAGTTCTTTTGTGACATTCGCACGGACGTTCGTTACATTGCTGTATTTTTTCAGTATGGTGTCAACCATCCGTTGGTAACTGGCCGGAACCATTTATATTCCCTTTATGGTAGCGGCAGCTTCTCCAACGAGACTTTCTTTTAAAAGATATTATTTTCTCCATAGTATTCAATGAAGAATTCTTGTGAACCATCGCGTTATATATGGCCCAGTACTCTTGAAAATTTGAAATTTCCCGAAAAAAATGAGGGATGGTCACAGTAGGAGGTTTAATAGAATTAGATTCCGTCTGTTTGTGCTGGTCATAGTAGCTGTTATAGGCCGTTGCCATCGGCACCTTTTCAGTATCTGTCATATCTAGTTGTGTTCGCTGTTGCAACGCCTAGTCTCCGCTACAGGAAGCGCCTGTTGTGACTGTCTCTTTTTTGGCGGCAGCGGCCGTCGTCGCCTGTTTGAATGCGTTCTGACACATGCTCGGACTTTCATCTGATGCAGCTGCGCCAGCTACGGTATCGAACGGCTCTTTTTCGGGCCGTTTTTACACTCAACCCTTGCCTGCTCGCATTTTACTTCTGCAAGTCGAGTTTTTAATGCTGTTAAAATTGCGTCTGCTTCGCTCAGTACTTCGTTATAATGTCTCGGTTTCCATGGATTGAAACTCATCGAGGATCTCTTTACGATTCGACTTTTTTTCGGCAAAATCCTTTCGAACACTCTCGACTAGTTTCAAAAGGTCGTTCCGAGTGCCGGTTATTATCGAAATAGCGTTTTCGATAGATGAAACTTTGGTGATGTAGAAATCTATGCGTTCTGCATATTCGAGAGGATACTGAGGTTCATTAGTGAACGACCGATATGTATCGATTTGAGTGACTAAAGTGTCACTGGTTCTCTTCAAACTCGACTTGTGGAAGTAAAGTGCCATTGCGTTCCACCTTGCGCTGACTTTTGGAGCGTCAGCGCGGTGCTTTCTCTCGAAATCGGCTGTGTGGCGGGTTGAAAATAAATTGGCCACTGACCTGTTTCGTCGGTTCGGCGGAAACGCAAGGACTGACGAACTGGCGACACGTTTAGTTTGTGTTTGCCGATGCACCAAATGTGCTGCCCCGCGATGGTTGTATAGGGTGGTTCAGTACAAAAAGTATCAAGCACGTTTATGAAGATAACCAAGCAATCCTACAAGCTGCACTGCACGCAAAAAGAAAGAGGGTCGGGCGGGGCGGTGCTTGAGGATCGCGTCATCGCACAGACGACTTGTAATCGCATGAACGAGGACGCGACATGATTGTAGAATTCCCATTTCTCCCAATACTATGTCACAATCCATGACACATCTTCCATGGCTTCAAGCAGAACAATTTCGCAAGCAAATAATGAGATGGCCCAAATCTCATCCAGTTATACCTGTTTTTATTCCCTTATAATTTACTCAAAACACTGACCATTGTCTTACATATTTACCCAGTGGCTGATGCATGGTGAAGAACCTTTGCGTTGGAAACACCCTTCTGCCACACCAAAAAAAGAACCTGCCTCTGTTCCACAAAATTACACACCGGTAAGCATTACGTCTCTATTCTGTAGATTACTAAGAAAAAACATTAAAAATCATACACTAAGGTATGTGATTGGACACAAAATTATCCCGTCGCATCAACATGGTTTCTTTCCTTGTCGTTCTGTAGAAAAAAAAACACACGATCGAATGCCTTGACGACTGGACAAATGCAGATGATAAAAATGCTGCTGCGATGTGATATATTTTGATTTTGCGAATCTTCGTTCGAGTCTCTCATCAAAAACTATTGCTCCTAGTAAATTTGTGAAGAAATATAAATTCCACCCAATGATATTAAAATAGATTTCAAAATTTATCAGTCGTACAATCCAAGTCAGAGTATGGCAATTCTATTCAAACGTAAAAAAATATAGTAAGTGGAGTATCTGCAAGACATGTTCTTTCTCCAGTATCATTTATCGTTTGTGGTTCCGAAGTACCAGCGTTATTTCAAGGGCTGGACACCAAAACAAAAATGTATGCTGATGACTCGAAGGTTTAAAAGGCAATCACACAGAGAACAACAAAACGCATAAATTTGCTAGGCCAGTGGGTTCAGGTGCCAGGTCAGCACAATGACAACTCCCGTTAGCCCCGAAACTAACTGCATGCGAATCAATTGCTCAAAGGAGAGACTTCCATCAATGATATTATGGTTACTAGTTCTGACTCTGTTAATGAAAAGTTGGGCGGAAGTGGTGCAGTGACAAGTGGCGCGCTCACCACGCGAGCGGTCCGGGATCAAATCCTGGTCGTGAGTCGCCCAGGCCAACCAAGCCTTCCATCCCTCCGGGGTCGGTTGATTGGTACCAGACTTGTCTGGGAGGATAAAAACACTGACTTGAACATGGGCTGGCCCCCGCAAGTCATTGTATAGGCCACATCGCATTCAAATGCCACTGCGAATGTACAAATGGAAGTAGAATGCGTGCCGCATCCCAAAACGGGATTGATCAACGGCAAATGCTTTATCCTTTATCCTTTTTATCTGACTCTGTTGGAAGGTTTGGATTCTTCTACACGAACACATTAGATTTCTCGAAACATATGTAAATCTGTTGTAGTAAAGCCCTCATGCCCTCACACTTTACTTCTTTACTTGAAGCAGGAGTCGCTGTGTTCCACTCATATAAGAAAAGAGAAATTTGCACGACGGAAAAGGTACAACACATTTTCACGCCTGAAAATCTGTCAAAAAATAAAGGCTTCTGGCACTCAAGTACTCTAGAGCATCGATCAGAAATCAACAATATGATCTATATACATTCCTCACCGTCTGACTCGAGTTGTTTTGTAAAGAGAGCGCCGATGTTGAGGAGGGCAGCCCTATGAGAGTCGCGTCAATGCGGGAATGCAGGCCAAGCAGGGCTCCAATTCTTAGGATCTGGGCCATTCTCATGAGCTTTTCGTCATCCCTGCACCACTGACCACCTACATTGATTTCTGATGGGACTCTTTCCCATCCTAAACCCCGCCTTCAGCACATCCACGCCGATGGCAGGCCTGTGGGCTGCCGGGATGCAGGTTCTTGGAACGAGTATTGTGGCAGCCCACATATCCTGCCACCCAATGCTGACTGGTCTCTACCATCCCTACGATATACGATGCGCTAAGTCTGTCTGTCTTTCTGTCCGTCTGTCACGAAATTCGGTATTAAGCGTACAACAACCTACAGGGTCCAGGTCAAGTTTGAGATGGGTGTACCATATCTCTTGAAGAAAAAGCATATATCAGCTAAGCGGAGGCCTGCCCACAGTGGGCGTGGCGTGCATCGGACTGAGGACCATAACTCGAAATCCAGTCAAGAACAGCCTCGAGACTGGGGACAAAAGTGGTTATAAGTGTGCGTTGGTAAGCCAGATTGCACCGAGGAGTCCCACCCGCGGTGGGCGGAGCGTTCTCTTGAAAAGCGGTGCTCAATGAAAATATTCATAGCTCGGTTAGGAGAAGCCTACAGAGCAGGAAAGACATTAATGCAGGGAAGCGATGTCTAAGGTATTTCCAGCACGCATGATGTGAACGGAGGCCACAATGGGTGGAGCGTGTCCTGAAGTAGACGACGTTTCCTACAAGAGCTCATAAATCGGCTCCGAGATGACTTAGAAACCGGAAAACAGTGGAGAGAAACTAGAAGAGGAGGAAAAGCTAGGTGTCAGGGCCGGGCGTGGCTTACACCAAAGTGGGTGGAGTTTGCAACCAGCCTCATAACTCGGTTTCTAGGAATCCCGAAGTCCGGGAAAAAAGCGTGTAAAGGTTGGGTGGGAGAGGGAAGGGATCAACTGCTGTTGGCTTGGCGGGCGGAGCATGCGTTAAAGTGGGCGGAGTCTGCCAGGAAACTTCATAGCTCGGTTCTAATAAGTTCCGGAGATGCGAAAAAAGTAGAAAGAGGCTGGGAAAAGATGATAGTCGGTGGATATCGGTGAGCGAAACATGCACCAAAGTGGGCGGGGTTTGCCGCTAAGATACGTTGCTCGATTTCGCCCCCTACAAGACCTCATAATTCGGCTCCTAGATGACTTAAAGACATAAAAAATGTGTATAGAGGTGAGAGGAGGAGTAGAAGTTAAGAGTGAACGCTTGGCATGGCACACCCCGGAGTGTTCGGAGTTTGCCACCACTCTCATGACTCGGTTCCTAGAAGTTTGGGCAACCGGTGAAAATGTGGATAAGGGTTGCCGGAGGGAAAGGTGCGAAATGCTACTGGTGGGCTAAGCTGGCACCAAAGTGGGCGGGGTTTGCCATCGATATGACTTAGAGACTTGAAAAAATGTGTGTGGAGGTGAGAGGAGGAGCAGAGATTAAGTGTGAACTCCTTGCGTGGCAAACCCCGAAGTGGGCGGAATTTGCTACCACTTTTATTACTCGGTTCGTAGAAGTCCCGGCGACCGGGAGAAATATGGATTAGGGTTGACGGTAGAAATGGGGCTGAACGCTTTTGGTGGGTTAAGCATTCACCGAAGTGGGCGGGCCTTGCCAAGAGAATTCGCGACTCATTGCCTCTCCTATAAGATCTCATAATTCGGTTTCGAGATGATTCAGAGACCGGAAAAAGTGTGTAGAGGTTAGAAAAAGAGGAGAGGTCAAATGTGCGCCAGGCGTGTCATACATTGAAGTGGGCGGAGTCTGCAACCAGGCTTACGACTCGACTCAAGAGGTCCCGGAAAGCGGGAAGAAGTGGATAGAGGTCAGCGAAGGAAATGAAGCCAACTACTGTCAGTGAGCGAAGCATGCACAAAAGTAGGCGGAGTCATCCACGAAACATTATGACTCGTACCCAAAAAGTCCTGGAGACCGGGAAAAAAGTGGATCGAGTCTGACAACGGAACGGAGGTCAACTGCAATTAGTGGGTGGAACGTGCTTCAATGTGGGCGGAGTTAGCATCAAATATATAATTCGGTTCCAGGAAGACCTCCAGGAAATCGGATATGCTTTAGTTTAGAAAAGGTAATCTGATCCTAGCTAAATTCCGGTGCGCTTCTTTTTTGTCTTCTTCTCACTTCTCTTCTATCAGTACATAAAGGAAGAGTACTATAAGTAATCAAAGACCCTGCAGATAGGTGCATTCACTGAAACATTCAACAAACAAACAACAATAAACACAAGAAAAATGCTTTCGATGTCCATTGCTGCAAAATATGATAAAATTCGCCTTTTCATTACCATTACACGCCTTTTTCATGGGAAACCTGCTACGATGCCTCTAGCATACCTCTAAGTGTTGGACATCCTTTACATTTTTACGATCCGGTATTGCTCATCTTTTGCTAATTTACCCCCAAGAAATCACTTACGTGAG